TTCACATGATTCACAACCATAGGGGCAACCCCTTGAGAACACCGCACATTTTCACCATTTTCCCTACTTCTCCACTCAGAAACTACACTAACAAATGAATTATAAAAATCACACAATCCAGCTGTTTTTAATAATCTTCTTGATATTGAATGGTTTGTAGACTCACTCCTTTGTGATGATAAAATACCACCAGAGAAATAGTCTTTACTAAATGCAGGAGGACACCATTTCTTCCTATTACCATAGAGCTTATTTAACCAAACATTTTTATAGCACCCATACTCTGTCATCATCCTGAATATATATATATATATATATATATATATATATATATATATATATATATATATATATATATATATATATATATATATATATAAAGGAACATGAATTGAAATCTATACAACATATTTCTAAGTTGAAGATCATATTTATAAGTAGAGGGGGTTTGGGGTATGCCGACTAAATCCAGCTGAACTCTACAAACAAATAAAATCGTCAACTATTAACTACTGACACAATATCATTTTATCACACAAACAGTATCATTTCACCATAACTGTAGTATCAGTTAATAAAGAAGGTATTAACATGATAAATACAGAAACAATCCAATAAAAAATAAAAGACTAACATAGTATCATTTTGAGAAATTAGAAATATCATTTCATCAAACAAGTATTGTCATTTGATAAGCAAAGCAAAATCACTGAATAATAGTTGAAACACATACTTGGTCCAATAAAACCCAAATGCTTCACCGAATGTAAAGAAATCGTGTTGTAAGCATCCCTAGAAGTAAATCCCACAAACGGTGACCCTCTTGACTGACATTTTAAAAAACGAATACCATCCGATAAGGGAACTCCACTCCTCTTCATGTTTTTTAAACATGTCAACTGATCCTCCAAAACCTTCCTATGCGACCTAAGCATGTAACTTGATAAAGATGGACAAAAATCATGGTTATGCTCCTTCACATGTCTAGTAACAACCCACTTCCCATTTGAATCTATATCAAATTGGCACATTGCATCACATCCAGTTCTAGTAACTACCTTTGAAAGACACTTATTAGAAGTATCTGGTATTATTCTAAACCTAGCCTTAGAACAAGAAAACAATTTCACCTTCAAAATCTGACTTCCAGTTACATAATATTGTTTACCCTTCCTAACACTAAATCCCATACGGAAAACATAAGCATTGTATAGATCAAATGCATCTTCTAATGATCTAACAGAAAGTCCCAACAAGTCTTCATAATCTGTGATTTATTAAAGCAAACATTCAATATTTCTAATGAAACTACACATATATTAAACTGATACTACATTGGTATTTTAATGAAACTAATATGCATTCAAAATGAAACTGACTACCATTCTTTTGAAAAATAACAAACTCAAACCTAGTTAACACATCCAAGTAAACATAGAACCTGGAATAGATGACTCTTCAACAATATCGTGGTCAAATGTTCCATCAACTGCAATCAAATGGTCAAAATCATCTGCAACAACACACAATTATCAATTGATATTTCAGAACACTTCAACTGACATTATATTGTTGTTATATAAATGAAACTACTGGGATAACAAAATGAAACCGAATTCCAAAGGCCTAAAAAAATGTAGACCTCTAATAAGAACATGAATACAATTAAAACCTGGAATATATCCATTATCGTCGATAGAATTTCTAGACGGAACATCAAATACAATCGGAAAAATCGAATCACCGGCGACCGGAATATCATCTTTACCTGCAACATACAAAAACCAAAACTTATAAAACAACTATACTCCTACAATAACAACATTACATATACTTGCAATACATAAGATGATACACACCTGGTAAAACTGAACTGTTATCATCAACAATCCTCGAATTCAAATCAATCTCGTCAATCATGTTGCTTGTAACAATTGTTTCATTCATATTTCCGAATACAGGAAGGGGACACACAATGCGAACGAGATCAAAACTACATCAACGTGAACGAATGCAAAAAGGAAATACCGAAGAATCTGAAAAAAAAAGGAAAGAACGACAAATCTGAAAAAAAAAAGGAAAGAAAAACGAATTCGAAATAAAGAAATAACGACGAATGGTACCAATTAGTCATCCGGCAACAGTTAACGGCGATGTCTGTGTCGCACCCTAATTACTGACAAAACGACGTCGCTTCATGTCCCGGTGCATAATCGATCATGCACCGTGGTGCATGATATAATTTGCGGCTATCCTTGGACTGTTATGCCATGGATGGCAAATTATGCGGTGGAACCGCAAGGTGGACACGGTTTCAAAACGGTGTCATTTTGGTGGAAAGTGACGCCGTGTTATTTAAAAAAAAATTTACTTTTTTTCGGTGTTAACGGCGTTTGTCTTCAAGAAGTCTATGTTCATAATTACTAAACTCTATGTTCATAATTTTTTAACTCTATATTTACAATTATTGAACTCTATATTCACAATTATTGAACTCTATGTTCATAATTATAGAACTCTATGTTCATAATTTTTTAACTTTATATTCATAATTCTTGAACTCTATATTCACAACTGCAGAACTCTATATTCACAGTTACGTAATAGTATATTCACAATTTTTTATGTTGTTGAATTATTTTGACAATTTTTTTTTTAAAAAAAATCTAATTGGTGGAGGGAAAACGGTGCCACTAACGGCACCATTACTCCCGAATTGCAGAACGACGCCGTATTGGAAGGTGGACAGGGGTCCTACTCCTATACAACGTCGTTCTGCAATTCGGGAGTAACGGTGCCGTTAGTGGCACCGTTTTCCCTCCACCAATCAGATTTTTAAAAAAAAAAAAGTTGTCAAAAGAATTAAGCGACCCAAAAAAAATAAAAAATAATTGTGAATATATTGTTACGTAACTGTGAATATAGAGCTCTGCAGTTGTGAATATAGAGTTCAAGAATTATGAATATAGAGTTAAAAATTTATGAACATAAAGTTCTATAATTATGAACATAGAGTTCTGTAATTGTGAATATAGAGTTCAATAATTATGAATATGGAGTTCAAAAATTATGAACATAGAGTTCTATAATTATGAACATAGAGTTCTATAATTATGAACATAGAGTTCAGTAATTATGAACATAGCCATCTATAATTGTGAACATAGAGTTTGGGAAGGAAACTGCTGAATCTGAAGACAAACGTTGTTAACGGCGAAAGAAAGCGATTTTTTTAATTGACACGACGTAGTTTTCCACCAAAATGACTCTGTTTTGGAACCGCGTCCACCTTGTAAGGTGGACACGATTCCACAAAATAATTTGCTGCTATCCTTATTCCTACAATACTATTTAACTTTTAAAAGTGGGTCTTATTTACACATCACTAAATTTGTAATTCATATTACATCCTTGCAAATTCAATCCATTTTTAAAAGTGGGACCAATATCACATCACTTTAAAACATTAATTCAAAAAAAAAAGTACTACATGGCAACTTTTTCTATCATTTGGCAGCAAAAATTGCCATTAGCAAAAAGGAAAAGTTTCTATTTTTTTTACCTCATTTAGCAAGGAAGAGATTGGCTGGGATGAGGACAACCTAAAGAGTTATAAAACAACATAGCCAATAAAATTAAGCCTATAATTGATAGAAAGAAATGCCCCTCAAATTATTAAATGAAATGACTGGTTCATATTATTCAGATTTTAATTTTTTTTAGATTTCTAAATTTATCCTTAACTAGTATTTTCAGCCGTGCGATGCACGGAATTGATTTGTTATAATATATTAAAAATATTTGGATCGTTATACAATTATTTAAATTATAACATCAAATACTCCGTATTATATAATGCAATTGAAGATATGGTTTGGATCATTTATGTTTGTTGATGTTATCATTGCTTGAATTCGAGCAAGTAATTGCTCAAATTAATAGTTAATGTGTAGATGTACGCATGCGGTGCTGTAACTTTAGAGATTTTTATATATCATTGTTTAGGATTTTTATTGTTAGTTTTATGACTTTTGGGCAGTCAACGGCAGGCCAACACCACCGTTAAAATAACGAGAATATATGAAAAATATAGGAAAAATATATGGAAAAAATATAGGAATGTTGTACTGAAGAATATTGTTGGTCAATATTGAGAGTCGTGCCCTTCCTCTATGTGAGGGGTCTTTTTATACATATTTTGAGCATAGAACCCTACAAGGAATAAGAATTCTACTACCTCATATTGAGAGTCATAGTTACATAATGAGACCTAATCCTATTGTACTAGACATATTGAGTCCAATTCTAATTATATTGAGAATAACAGGCCCAATCCTTGACAAACTCTTGGGTTGCTCCGTTCTGTACATCTTTCTTGGGCTTCCTTAATCTAGTTGTTCTCTTGGGTTGGTCCATATGGCCCAGACTTAGTATGATATTCATCATTTAGTCCCCCCACTTTCTTGAGATTTCGCGTCACAAGAAAGTATCTCGAACTATTCTCTGATATAATAATAATAATAATAATAATAATAATAATAATAATAATAATAATAATAATAATAATAATAATAATAATAATAATAATAATAATCTCTATATATATTAAAGCAAAACAATAGGAGCAAAAAAATCCCGCCCAAACCGAACGTCGAAGTTTTGGACTAAGCCGCGAAATTTATTGTATTTGTTTCGGAAAACCAAAGGTCTACGCAGTATAATACCTAAAGTATATAGAAAACCTAATTTTTTCAAAATATCTACACAGATCATTCTCCCATCCAATGGGATTAGAGAATGTATTTAAGGCAATCAGTTTTTCATATGGGACATTGAGCCCACGAACCCATACCTATTCTCTAGGTATTTATTGATGAGGATGATGATGATCAATAACGAAAGGTCATCAGACCTTATATATACAACACATATACAACTACTGAATACATTCGCAATCTCCCTCTACAACAGCCTCTCTGATTCTTCTTCAATAACAAAAAATGTTTGTCCTTGCTAGCCAGATATCTCCGATGAATACCAGGCAGGCTATTAGACTACGGGTGGTGCGAGCATATCAGATTCCTGAGAGAAGTGATCCATCGAAGTTTAGATCAAAAGAGGTTGTTTTTCATGATGAAGAGGTAAGTACTCTTTAAAAATAGATAGACAATCGTTTTAGTTATACAGTTCGTATTTTGGTCAGATATTCATACAGTCCCTATTTTTGTTATTTACACATACACAGGGGTCCTTCTTGCATGCTCATATACCCAAAGAGTACGTGGAAAAGTACCTCAGCAGTTTTGCTGAAGGTTCAGTATATGCTATAAAAAATTTTTGTGTTATCACCAATTTTTACTCATACAAAACCAGCCCACAGAAGTACATGATAAAATTTAACTACAAGGCTGTGGTTAAGGATTTAAAGCATGTTAAATTTCCTATGAAAATGTATCGGCTGAAGACCTTTAGAGAGATCAAGTCTAATGAAGGCCTTGATGAGAAAATCTTATTTGGTAATCAGTACTCTCATTCAATCTATGGTTTCTAATTATTTACTATTTTGTCTACTATTCTATATTCTAAAGCATTATTTTGTAGATGTTATTGGTCAAGTGATTGAAATACACTGCCCACAGGAGAAACTAATCAATGGCAAGAACTCCAGGCTGATTGACTTCACCATTGAAGATACTGAGTACTACTGAATTCCAGTAGCTATGGTTTATTTTCTATTTTACAGATTTATGAGTTTCTAATATATTTTCTAATAATTTTTAGTGGAATACAACTAATGTGTACTTTGTGGGATGAACACGTAAGCAAAATTGAGGCATTCTACAATTCTACTACACAAGAGCCATTATTGGTGTTGATACAGTTTTGTAGGGCTAGGGTGTGTCTAAAAAGTAAGTACAGTAAATCCTATAACTGCTCCTAAATTATTCACCAAGAAGCCTTTCTAATGTGTATTATACCATTATTTCCTAAAGGTGGTGATGTCAAGATTTGCAGCTCCTATGATGTAACACAGCTGCTATTCAACCAAGAATCTCCCCCATTTGAGGAGTTCAGGAAAAGGTACTTGCACCCTTTTTTTTGCAGCTGCAATTTTACATCTAATATGTATTCTGATTTTATGATATCATTTTACAGTATTAGCCAAGAACAGACTCCAATGCGCAGTATAATTTCCCAGTCAAGTTTTAAGGAATGTAGCTCCTATTCAGTTTCCCTATCTGCTGATATGGAAGTTCGTACTATCAATGACATCTACAGAGACAAGGAGGTAAGACTGTTTTAAGGAATGTAGCTCCTATTCATTTTCCCTAAGACTGTTAAAACAACAAATGATTACCTAACCAAAACATTATACCAAACAATTCCTTTAATGTTTAGATTTTATAGATGGCATTATGCACTTAAAAATATACCTCTATGTCTTTACTTTGTTGCAATCCATGTCTATGATATATCATGATTGCAATCCATGATATCAGTTCTGCTCAAAGCTGCACACTAGATCCAATTTCTTGGCTGTTTAACCTGTATTAGCTAATAAGCATGAGATGGAAAAATATTATAGTTGTGTTAACCTGTGTACAGTTGTGTTATTAACTCAATCAGTTAATTAAAGCAATACCTCTATGATATATCACGATTGCAATCCATGCTTGCAGTTCTGCTCAAAGCTGCACACTAGATCCAATTTCTGGGCTGTTTAACCTGTATTAGCTAATAAGCATGAGATGGAAATACCACCTGTTTGTCCACAAACCTGCACAATCAAACACATATTGATGGTTTAATTAATGTTAGAGAAAAAATGGTGTGGATATTTGTACTAAATAATCACACATGTACTGATCTGGTCTATGTTATAAACTCTGTTAACAGTCTAACGTATGATGCAGTTTGACGATTTTTGGGTGGCAACAAGGATTGTATTCATTGATGATCCAGAGTGGTACTATGCTTCGTGTAGAACAAAGGGGTGCAACAAAAAACTGAAACTCAAAGGAAAGTGGCTATGGTGTAGTACATGTGACAGAAATTGGGGTGACGGGACACTCAGGTACAAAATTAAGGTTAGGGTTGTGGACTTGGATGGCAATGCTCCTTTCCTTCTATGGGACAGGGAGTGCCTCGATCTACTTGGAATTACCGCGGATGATCTGAAGGATACCCATACTAAGGTACAAAACTATATTTCAATCTTAGCTAGACTATTAACTTATTAGTACCTGAACCAGATAAGTTGTGTTTTCAAATACTGTTTCACATATGGTATATAGGAAAATTAAAATCTATAGTAAATTTTTATGTAGGGAAGGAAGGGTCTACCTAAGGAGCTCGAGACTCTAATTAGACTGAATCTCCTATTTCGAATTGCCGTTCGCAAAGAACAGTTCCAGAATTATCTCAATGCTTTCCCTGTTATGAGGATCATCATTGACGAAAAGATTGTAGAAAAGCATTGCCCAGAACTAATAGGAGTAAGGGACAGGGATCTCAGTTCAAAGTTGGAGTTGGAGCTTACAGATGAGGACCTATGGGATCTAGAGGTATACTTGGTATACCGAGTAACATGTTGTAGCAATTAGTTTATAGTTTATTATTATTGGTCACTTAAACATTTTGAACTTTTGTTTTTGTAGGAAGCAGACCAAGCAAATGAAGCTGAAAGTCCACTCCAAGTTGTTGCACAGAGACTCACTACAGAGAATAGTGTTGAGAATGGAACAGTCAAGAGATCACTAATCGATGAATTTTCAAGCACACAAAGTTCAAAAAAAAAAGCAAGGAATGTGTGGTCAAGATTGAGAAGGAAGCAGAGTTGTAATGATTTTAATGATTGACAATGTGCTCTATTGGTGTCTTTTTTTTTTAACAATGGTTTTTTATGGTGACATTTTGGTGACTCACTCAAACAGCTAGACTGAAACTTTGAATCATTTTGGATTATATTAGTAGATAATTGTTTTTTGTTGAATTCTCATAATTTGTTCCTAGGAGCTGTTATGGGTACTGGATTTTTGTTATATTCCTTTTGCAGGTTTTTTTTTTTTCACTTAGTGTGGCACAATGATGGAAAATGAATGCAGATGTATGGTAAAAGAGGTCAAGAGATGGCTGACATGGCAGAAAAAAATGAAGAAGATGGCAGAGGTATCACTAAAAATGGAAGCTGATGGCACAGTAATCATTTGAAGATATAGATAACCTCTAGCAAACAGTCCATCAATTTGTATTTGTAGTGAAATGTAATACATGCAAAGGACTACTTTTTAGATGCACAACATTATTGTAGATTAGTGTAATGTCATAAGATTTGTAAAATATTATTCTAAGTTTTCCAAGCTCCAGCTAATAATTCAAATCCTCCATTTTGTGTCATAATTAACAATTGCCTTATATTAAATACTAACAACAAATCAACTACAAATACATCCTAAATTAACTCCACTAGAAATGTAAACAGAATATCAATTTTAAATAGTGTATAGAAACCATCAAAAGTAATATTGTACTCTAAGTTGAAAATTTGAATGTAGTATTAAAACATTACAGTTGCAACCCTTGCTGACTATACAGCACCCTTAGAAGTTTTAGAAAGTAAAAGTAATTAAAATAGTTTTAAAACTAAGTAATGCAACACCCTTTGGTAATGAATATATAGAGTTTAATCCAAGTAGGCATGATTATACCTGATTAGGAACTTACCAGCCTCTGTCATCTTAAAACTCATTTCAACGTCCTTTTAACTGAACTTCCAGGTCCTTTATGCATGTCCTTTTAAGTGAACTGCCAGGTGCTTTTAACTAAACTGGAGAGGTCCTTTATGCAACATTTGCTTTATAGCATCCTACTTGCAGTTTAACCAAAAAGTTATTGATTAAAAATATTAATGGCAGCCACATCGTAGTCAATTTCTAACACATGGATTAACTTCCCAAAGTTCATTATGGACTCAGTGATGAATAGTGAATTACCCTTGAATTCACCAACTGTAGGATTAGGAAGCCTCCTAAATTAATGTTAGTTGAGGACCGTTGGTGCAGCAACTTACCTGCAGTGGCCAAATAGTGAATTAAAGAGATAACTCATTATATACACCATCTAATTTAGTAACAATGAAAGGATATTATTGTTGTTAATCACATTATATTGATCATTTCTAAGTCTATTAAAACTTATCTTTGAGCCGTGCTTAGTAACTGTTTGGCCAATAGTCTTGACAGCCTCTTTGTTATTAGGAAGACTACTCAAAGAATTAGAGTTGAATACAGATTGTGTATATCAGACCTGCGATTGGAGAATTTCAATTCACCGAATTAAATCTTATAAACATCACCTAATCAAAGTACACTGAAAGAATATTATACTCAACCTAAAGAACATTATATTAGAGGATTTGATAAATGTAAAACTTATCTTTCTATTCAAAGTGTCACAACCTCTTTAGTACAATTCCCATTATGTGCTAAAAACATATCACGTCATCTATACAGTCTGTGCTCTATTCCACTCAGGGTCATCCAGTTAAGAGTTGCTTTTGATGTGAAACCCTAAGCAACTTATTGGCATCACAATATAACTCCCTGACATTAGAGCACCAAACTGTTTGTTACCTGGAAAACAACATATATTAAACAACATATATAAAAATTTAAGTCCCTGACATTATGGATAATAAACATTATTAGCATCCAAACAAAGTTGTGAATTCCACTTGGACAATGAAAAAAAAAAGTAGTCAGAATATCAATGATCTAATATATTGATGGCACATTGCATTAAGTAGCTGATCAAAACCTTTTAGTATTCCAAAACCAATTAGGATAACCATTTTCCAATGATGAGATAATTTGAATTTCATTCAACATAAATTAGGATAGAGATTACAATACTAATAGTATAACAACTCCTATCAAATAGGGAAACTACATAAGACTAGGCCTACTGTAAAGACTAGTAAACATAACATTAATAATAAAGTAACAGATAATAATATAGCTAACACACCCCCTCAAGCACAAGGATGGTATGCCACAACATTGAGCTTGTCACGTAGCGCTGCAAAGCGCGGTCCTGGTAACGGCTTCGTGATGATATCTGCTAGCTGGTCTTTAGTGGAGACATAATTAACCATCAACTCCCCAGAAGCTACCTTGTCGCGGACGAAATGAAAATCTATCTCCACATGTTTGGTCCTGGTGTGAAAAACTGGATTAGCACACATATAGGTCGCTCCTAGATTATCACACCAGAGGGTCGATGGAACACCAGTGTGTAACCCAAGTTCCCGGAGTAACGACACAACCCAAGTAACTTCGGCTGCCACATCAGCTAGTGCCTTGTACTCCGCTTCAGTCGACGAACGAGCTACTGTGCGCTGCTTCCTGGATAACCATGAGATCAGATTGGATCCAAAAAACACTGCGTAGCCACCAGTGCTTTTCCTGTCAAGAGGACAGCCTGCCCAGTCCGAGTCAGAATAAGCATGCAGAGCAGAAGACTCGGAGACAGTGAGCTGTAAGCCGTAGTCTAAAATACCCTTGATATATCGGAGTACCCTTTTAACCAACCCCCAGTGATCAGCTATTGGCGTGTGCATGAATTGACACAACCGATTCACAGCGTATGATAAGTCTGGCCGTGTGATAGTTAAGTACTGTAAAGCACCTACCACACGACGATACTGAGTTAGATTATCATGCGGCTCAGCAGTAGACGAGACAGGCTGAGTAACTGCAGCCGGAGTGGCTAGTGGCTTACAGTCAGTCATGCCGGCTCGACTCAGAATGTCCTTCATGTACCTGCGCTGGGATAGCATGAGTCCAATGTCAGTTTTGACAGTCTCAATTCCAAGGAAGAACCCTGGCGTTCCGAGATCTTGAATCTTGAACGTCGATGAAAGACGTTGCAGCAGAGAGGTGATAAGAGATGGATCATTGCCCATCATAATAATGTCGTCGACGTATACTAACAAGTATACTCGTGAGTCAGCCGTGGAGTAATGAAATAGGGAAACATCTGTCTTGGATGATGAAAAACCTGCAGATAGTAAATAGTCATGTAACCTCTTGAACCACGCCCGAGGAGCTTGCTTAAGCCCATACAAAGATCTCTGTAGGTGACACACGTGATCTGGGTGTGTCGGATCTTAATATCCCAGTGGTTGCTTCATATAAACTGTTTCCGCTAAGTGCCCATTCAAGAAGGCATTGTGGACATCGAGTTGCCTCAGAGTCCAGCTGTGTGAGACAGCTAGTGAAAACAGTAGTCTTACTGTAGTCGGCTTGACTACCGGACGGAAGGTGTCGAAGAAGTCTTCTTCTGCAACATGATTGAACCCTTTCGCCACAAGATGAGCTTTGTATCGCTCGATTGAGCCATCGGCGGTGCGTTTGGTACGGAAGACCCATTTGCACCCGATGATGTTCATGTCTGGTTTGGGCGGAACAAGAGCCCAAGTGTTGTTATGCAACAGGGCATTGAACTCCTGGTCCATCGCATCACGCCATTCAGAGTGACCAACCTCCTGCGAGTAACAGGTGGGATCAGTGGTTACACTGAGAGCCTGAAAATCTTCACTAGTTCCCCGGGTCATATGTCGAAGCCTCATTGTATGCCCTCGATCTTGAGGCTCGGTCCGTGCAGCTCGCTTTCTGTGAGTCACGTCTCTAACTGGTGCTTCAATAGCCAAGGGAGTTGCCTCCTGTGCAAAAGGTGTTGGACTCGGCGGCCTGTGTAAACCGGAGTCAATAACGGCTACAGGAGGCTGATGAGATACAACTGGGCCAACAGCCCAAGGTAAAGCTGGTGGTTCCGGTGTAGTCGTGGTTTCAGCTGTTAATTCTGAAAAAGGGAAAACAGTCTCGTCAAAGCGTACATGACGACAAATATAGACTTTCGCACTTGTTAAATCCATGCATCTATACCCCCTAAAGGAAGACGGGTAACCTAGGAAGACACAGGGTGCCGAGCGATAATCTATCTTATGCCGATTATAGGGCCTAAGATAGGGATAACACTGACACCCGAAGACACGGAGAAACGTGTATGGTGGTTGAGTTTTATAGAGACGACTGTATGGACTTTCAGAATTAAGTACAGGGGTTGGTAAATAATTGATTAAGCTTGTTTCTGTTTCAAAGGCGTAGTCCCAATATTGTTGTGGGACACAGCCTTCAGCTAATAAAGCTAATCCTGTTTCAACTATGTGACGGTTCTTTCTTTCAACTCTGCCATTTTTTTCGTGCGTGTACGCACAAGATTGACGGTGAACAATACCCAATTTTCGAATATGTGATGTAATTTACGGTATTCCCCACCTAAGTCGTACTGAACAGATTTGATAGAACGCGAAAATTGGCGTACTACCATGACTCGAAACGACTCAAAATTTTTATATATATCAGATTTTACCCGTAAGGGATAAAACCAACAAAAGCGAGAATAATCATCTACAAAAAGCAGAAAATAACGAAATCCACTAGTAGAGATTACAGGTGACGGACCCCATATGTCCATATAAATTAAATCTAGCACATTGCTACTTGATAAAGGAACTCTATTTAATGGAAATCTGGACGATTTTCCAAGCTGACACGAGGTGCACAACCCGCCCGGTGAGGTTTTATTTGGTGTGACTGGACACAACTTTAAGACTTGATTCTGGACATGCGCATGGGGATGGCCCAACCTGCGGTGCCAGACAACCGGTGTAGCACGGGATGTGAGAAAAGCAAAATGCGACTGGGAAACAGGAAGCTTGTATAGACCGCCCTCTGTGGACCCTTTAAGCAGAACTGCCCGAGTGACCGAATCCTTCACAATGAAACAATTTTTATGAAACTCAACAAAAACACGGTTATCATTTGTTAAACGATAAACAGATAGTAATGGAACCGAAAGCTTAGGAACATATAGGACATTTGTGAAACTTAATGGTTTAGACACAGATGGTATAACAGCATGGCCAACTCGTGAGATCGTCAAACCTGTGCCGTTTCCAACACGCAGAACATCACCACCAGTGTATTCGTCAGACTGTGTCGTCATAGATGCATCCGGCGTGGCATGAGCAGTGGCGCCCGTATCGGGAAACCACCCAGAACCAGATGCGGCAGCAGCATCCTCTTCGGCCGGTACCACCAAGTTTGCTTGCGGAGACTGCTGCGGTGCG